AACTTTTTTTTTGTAAAATTATTGTCCACCTTGGCAATTTGTGAACTCTCCAAGTGCTTAGGTGGCAAACAATTACTTTTGAATTGCCATAATATTATGTATAAATAGATAGATAGATAGATAGATAGATAAGTTATAGATAGATAGATTAAACAAACATTCCCATAATTAAATTCTTTAGTTTTTCCTTAACCCGCCACTTGTTAGAACCTTAAAATATTAATGTCACCTAAAAGAGATAAAGATCGGCAATATGAATATATCATCCAACCATCTATTGGCAAATTATCCCACAGCCTGTCTCATCTATCTATCTGAAAACGAACATGAAAAAATTAGGCAAAAATAGAGAATGTATAGGAAAAGCCCTAAGTAACAGGGGAAGTGAAGTTTCAACTTAATTGCAACTGTGTTGGCCAATGGTCATTGGCTCCTTTACATTGTGCAACTAAACTAAACCCCTCATAGGGATAAGGAGGGGACACTATTGACTTGGTTGTTTACCTAATTTTATCTTCTGGGAAATCATGATTCTAGCTACCTTAATTACATTATTGCAACTATAAAACCAAACTAATGATTTCCCATAAAAAAATAAGTAAACCAACTCTAATAATTTATTTTTTAATTATCTTTTTGATAGAAAGGTTAATTTGTTAATAACTCCCAAAACATATTCTGATAGCAATTATTGATGACAAAAATATTGGACCAGTTTAGAGTTAAGAACTTGATTCAATGTCGCACGTAAAAAATGTTTTGCCAATCAATTGTTTTTGCCCAACCAAATTTTATCAATTTTCTCTTCTGTTAGCCTTTTTTGTTTTGGTCAATGTTAGCCCATTTTTTTTGCATTCAATACTTTATTGATAAATGTGTTCAATGCTTTGATTTGGGTATGATCATCAAACAATTGTGGCCGGTGGTACTGCTGTATGTGACCTCTAGCTAACCTTGTAACATCCTACTCATCAGTCATCACCAATGTATATATGTGTGGTTGCTTTCTCCCCCAATAGAAAAGGATAGCTCGCAAAAGGTTTAATAATTAATGTTGGGTAATCTTACTCTAGTGGCTATGTGTGAAAATAAGGTTCACACTAGGGATGGCAATGGGGCGGGTTTGCCTAAACCATCCACATCCCCATCTTCAAATACCCAAACTTATACCCGCTCCATACCCATGCGGGAGAATGTTTTGCAAACCCATCCCCATACCCGTGGGTTTCGGGTACCAATGGGTAATACCCATCCCCGTACATCCAAAATTATTATACCTAAAACTTACAAGAAAAGTTTTAATTATAACCATAGACAAACCTATTATATCATGAAGTCAACAAAACACGGTCATTTTCTAAATACGATTCAAAGAATATGATCCTACAACATCCATTAATACATAATATAGACTACAATATTTTTTAAATTATTATGCTCTAACTCTTGATATTTACTAAGTAATAATTAACTAACATAATTTTGTTGACAAGGGGAAAGTGAAAGAGCGGAAGGAGAATTGAGGGAAATGAATTAGGTTTTGATTAAAGTGATTACTCAATTGCATTTCTACTATTTATTTTCTCGAGTTATCATCATCATCATTGATAGATTACAATTTAATCCACATATTTTTTTATATGTGAAGAAATTCTCTTGGTGGGGCGGGTATGGGTATGGTGTATGGGGCGGGGGAGGCTAAAACCATACCCGCCCCATACCCATCAAACTTTTTATGGGTTTTACCCATACCCGCCCCATACCCGGTCAAAGCGGGGATTCCCCGCGTTGACTGGGTTGGGGGCGGTCGGATACCCGCGGCCATGGGTTTGATTGCCATCCCTAGTTCACAGAGTTCAATTCAAATGTTGAAATCGATGATTAGTTAAAAAAGTGGTGGTATCCCTTCTCAAGTTAAAGATAAACCTCAACAACAAAATATTCAAATAACAAAACTTAATAGTTTACCAGTATGCTGTAAACGAACTACCGATGTCGCAAGATAAATTTGCGACTCTATTAGACCTTCTAGGAACAAGGAGTTTAGAGAAGACGGTAAAAAAAAACAACTGTCCTAATTTATAAGTTATCAGCTAACTAAGAACCATATAAAATCATTTTGCTCATTAAGTAGGGGCGAAAGCTTGACCTGAAAGACTCATTGACCCGTCCCGACCCGTCCCGTCACTAAGGGTCAGATTAGGGACATATCATTTGTTGACCATGTAAGGGTCGGGACGGGTCACTTTTTGACCCTGTGTCCCTTAACAACAACAAATATCTCACACCATATTGGACCTTTTTGTAGAGTTTTAAAAGTTTAGGTACTAAATTGTAAAAATAAATATTTGGCTACCAAAACGTAATTTTATCATCAAATTTGATGGACTTATTTGTAAAAAAAATAGGTACTAAATTGTAAGAAACAATAATTTTGGGTTCTAAAACATAATATGTAAAAAAGTAGTGTTGAATTTAGGGTCGACCCACTGACCCAACCCATCCCGACTTGTCCCAACCCTCAAGGGTCAGACAGGGTCAAGAAAAAGACAAGGACGGGACAGATCAGTTATACATGTTGACCCTTTAGAGACGGGTCAGACAGAATCAGATGGGAAGACAAATTTTCAGCCCTATCATTAAGCACTAATTAAATAATATTTAGGCACATATATATTGTTATAGTGTTGCGTAGAAAGCCAAGGGGGTTACATAGAGTTCAGTCCAGATATGGTCCTTTTATTTGTCTTTTACCCTTCAAAATAAGCCTAATGTCAATTTGTGCTTGGAATTAATTTCTTGCCAACAAGACTACAAGAGTAATAATAATAATGCTAATTAATTTTACTGGAAACTTGAGGGCTATGATTATGTTAGTTTGTTGGTGATCCAACAACAAGCATCGGATCCATGTCAAGTCATCCAGTAACCTAACATAGTTTTGCTGGGGAGTGAAAGGATTGGATGGGTTGCTGTCCTATAAGTCTAACACAGAAAGATCAATCAAAAAGCAATTGTAGGACTTGCAATTCCTCAAAAAAATCAACAAATTCTAGGTGGGCATAGTTACTTAAATTTCTTAGATTTGTGATCAATTCAAAATCAATTTGGTATTGGCTACTGAAGCTGAAGGAGTAGATAATAGCAGCAACTTAAACTTTTTTGGTCATTCAATCAGCTATTGGACGACTCTCATATATGTTGTATGCAAATGCACCGCAATCCTCATCCTCTCATGTAGAGGTGGCAATTAGGATCCAAATCCATAAATCCAATCCAATCCATCCACCAAATTATCCACCTAATCCAATCCATTTAAATCCAATCCATTTTATCCAAATCCAATTGGATTGGTGGATTCATGGATCAATCCATGGATCCAAATGGCAAATTACGATTTGGTACCTGTATTTTTTATATTTTACATTTTGGTACCTAAAATTAATATTTTTATACGAAAAAATATCATTGGAAAATTACATTTTGGTACCTAAAAATTTTCATTATGACATTTTAGTACCAAAACTTTTCAAATTTTACATTTTGGTCCAAGCCTTGGATGTCATTTGGATTCATGGATCAATCCACCAATCCATTGGATCCAATCCATTTGATCCATGGATCCACCAATCCAATCCACGAATCCACGAATCCGATCCAATTGCCACCTCTGCTCTCATGTTTGATGCATATTGATATCAAAATCGTATATTCGCAAATTAACGAGCAATTGAAAGATATGTAAACAAGTTGCTTACTCATATTTACATTTGTCATGACAATCAAATTCATTCGGACCATATGTATTTGTACTATTCATTCATGCATATTGATAATTGATAAAGAAAACAGGCACCAAATTGGAATCAAAATGACCGAAACCAAATACATAATTTTCAATCACTGACTGGTTTAGCTCAGGGAAAGAAATTTAATTATTAGTGGTGGTACTGGTACTGGTACTGGCTGCTTTGTACACAAAATGAAAATGAATGCTACCAAACTGATTAAGCTTTTAACTGAGACCCTACGAGTCCATCCCATACTTTACCTTTCTGGCTAAGTAGGTAGCTAGGGTTTGGAACCTGTTTGATTATATTAGGGTTCCTCATTGATTGAATTTGGTTTGTTTATAAATGAATGGTTAGGAGTTTGAAAGGTATCGTTCCAATTTTTTTCTGATGTTTTTCGAAGGGACTTAAGAGTTGAACTATAGGCTCACCCGGCAGAGTTATAATTTTGAATTCAACAATCTTATAACAATATACTTCAATGGGAGGAACTAATAATAGTTTTAGAATTGAAATTTGAATTCAACTTTATGATTTATGATAATTTATACTAATAATTTAAATATCATAGCAAAGGTTACCTTAATAAGAATTTCCTCCGTCTTTAATTTATAAAATCTACAAAAAGAAAAGAGATGTAAGTAGGGAGAAAAATTACTTTTTGTATAGCCCAACACATTTATTATAATTATTTCAAAAGTGATATTATCTGAGCTACATTTGAGCTTTTCTGTGGCCGAATTTCCACATGAGGCACAGGCCCAGCTATCGAGTTTGGAATTGGTTAGGCCGAAGTTAAAACTAAAAATGGGCTTACCATCGGGGCCTTTTCATAAGCGTCTCGATATGAAAATGGACAGGCTGGGTTTAGTGGGCTTAATGAAATCAAAGTTGGCCCAGCTATCGAGTTTGGAATTGGTTAGGCCGAAGTTAAAACTGAAAATGGGCTTACCATGGGGCCTTTTCATAAGCGTCTCGATATGAAAATGGACAGGCTGGGTTTAGTGGGCTTAATGAAATCAAAGTTGGCCCAGAGACGGACAAACGGATTGGAAAAGGAATAATAGTGGAGATGCGGGGTATCGATCCCCGTACCTCTCGCATGCTAAGCGAGCGCTCTACCATCTGAGCTACATCCCCTTATATGTCAATTACATGAAGCGCGGTTTTATATTCAAAACATTTATGGCACCATATATAAATGCAGATCCGCATCGCAGGATTAGGATTCTCCCTCCTTTCTCAACTCCACTCCAGTTTGCCTCTGAACATCTGCAGATCCAACGTACGCCGTTCATTTTTATACTCACTGTTTGCTATCCATTTATGATTATTTTCTCTGAAGCTTGATCTGATTTCAATGAACCACTCCTGTAATCCATGGCTAATCGACTCATTATCTGGTTCAACTGCCCGCAACGTGTTCGACTAAATGCCCCACTGAGTTCCTTCCCTCCATTCGGTCTTTCATTCTGTTGCAGTGTACAGGAATAGAACCCGTAGCATGGTCACGTGCTTCCCTTCCTCGCCCAAGAAACTGGGGATGACGGCGGCCTTGTTTTCCGCAGCAGCCGCCATCATGGGTTACGCGGCGCATCTCTCCTACGTCAATGTCGCCCCTCAACAAGCTCGTACTAGAGCTCGGGATGAGTTCGTTAAGGAACGAATGAGACAGAGGCATGGCTATGGCAAGTGACAGATGTTTAGCGCAAACAAGTCTTTTTTCTTCTTCTGCACCAGTGATTCTTTCTCCGTTCTTTTTGCAAGCAGTCTACTCATGTATACCATCTCTATACACTAGCTACTTCTGCTTTCTCAGCTCTGAATGCCACAAATATGTTGAACTACAAACTGTGTGTTCCATCAGTGAACCATATATTATTTTGGACTCTGGATCTTTCATTTTGGAGTTGTGATGAAGTTTGGATGAACTGTGTCTAAGCATGTCATGTTTACACATCATTGGGTATTCAAGACTAATCAACCAGTAAATGGTGAGGCATGACTGAAGAAAATATCGAGCTGATAGAGGCCGATTCGGGAAACCCGCATGGAACGAGTTGCTGGTTTGTTTCTTATTTATACTTAGCTACAAGTTTTACTATTTACAACGGTAAATAAAATAGAAATTCAAATTCACCTTGACACGTGGTGAAGAGAGTAAAGCTAAAATGAAACTAACTCCACTAATGATAAAACGACGTCAAAAAAACCCTAATCGCCCATGCTGCTTCGACCATCGTTCTCGTCGTTCTTCTTTCCATAACTTCTGATTCCCTTTCCAGTACCCACCGCCTCTAGAGTCATCGTTGGGGGAGATCTTTCTAGATCCAAAGCTTGAGAGAGCCGGAGAATTCGACGGAGGAGGACTCCTGTAAGCGGTGACCGTCGGAGGAGTGGGAGTGAGGCGGGGAGCCCATGCAGCTAAGGACCGACCAGAGTTAAAGCTATGGTGGAGTTTGGGGAGATTGGGGTAAGTAGGAAAGCTAGGTTTGACGTTTTGGAAGAATGGGGCGAGTGGGGAAGTGAGGTTTGTGAGAGAAGACGAGATTGTACAGGCTAAGGCGGAAGAAAAATGGGGTTTATGGGAATGGGAGATGAATGATTTTACTTTGTGTAATTGTGCGGTTGTGTGTCTATAGGTGAAGAAGAGAGGAGAAAAGATAATGTTTATGCGTTTATGGACAGGTGTAGGTTTTCATTTAAATAATAATAGTAGATTAATGCTAAAATGATACTTGTAAATAAATTACATTTTAATCATCAAATTATTAAATCACTTCAACATAAAATATATATTTAATAGTATTCGGGTTAAAACGAGCTAAATCAGGCTAAAATAATCCACCCATTAACCCTTAACTCACTAACTTATCGGGACCAACGGGCTAACCCAGATTGAGAACCTTCATACTCAATTACTCACCCTAACTCCTATAAGAACCATAACTAAATTGTGATTTGAGAGGCCCAAGCCCGAAGCTAATAAGCTTTTGCGTGCGCAGGCGTTCCGCGAGTTGTCAGAAGTCGGAACAATATACGGCCGGGAAATCCCCGCAATCCTCCGCTGCGGTAAAACTCAAACGCCGCCGCGAGAATCCAAATCGTGGCCTCCTTCCCATAACTTTCTTATACGATTCATTCAATCCAGGTACGCCCGCAATTTAGGATTGTTTCTTTTATTCTTCTCTGCGTCCCGAAGTCGAATTTTATTTTATTTTCGGCTATGAAACCCTTAGTAAAAGTTCAAAGCGAGTTGGATTTGATCTTTCTGATTCCAACTCTGAACCTTGGATTTGATCGTCGTTAAGTTATCCGGGCCGTTTGATTTTCTTTTCTGTGGTTGTAAGCAAATTTCATGGTGATTGTCTCTGTATTGGTGAATGTATGTTTTCTTTGGTCGCAATGATACTGAGTAGAATCGTGATTGGTTTTGAATTTCCAGGGAGAAGGCTTCCATGGCTGGGTTCGAATCGTCAGCGTTATGTATCAATGACGTTCTGTCACACCATTTACTGGTAGAAGTTCTGGTTCGCATTCCTTTGAAAGATGTGTTTCGCTGTATGTCTGTTTGCAAGTTCTGGTTCTCTTCCATTCGGGATGATCCATATTTCAAAAGACGCTTCATTCTCAAGAGGGTTACGGAGCAGGCCTCTTCCAGTGCGGAGGATCATCAGCTGGTTTACGCACAGTGCAGCATCAGGGAAATGCTTCTGGTAACTCCCACCTGCAGCATCGTTAATGGTTCTGACTTATCTTTGAATTTGCTGCCGTTCATTGCTGGCCAGGATTATTACAGTAGTACCTTAGACCGTGTGGTTTTGGGATCTTCCAATGGCTTGCTCTTGTGCTCCCCTTATAAGACCATGCCTGCCACATACTACATTTGCAACCCGCTCACTAAGGAGTGGCTTATCCTTCCACCATCTCCTCATAAGGACAGTCCTGATGTTTATGTTGGTTTTATCTGTGATCCATTCTACCTCGTGCAAGGTGATGATAGCTTGATCACTTTGAATGATGGATTTGGTTTCAAGGTTGTACGTTGGCGTTACTCTAGTAGTGATGAGGATGAGGAAGAAGATCTCTTTGGGATGGATGTGGAAGTATTCTCATCTGACGTGGGACTTTGGACTACATCTAGGGCCCGATGTGTGAAAGGTGTTACCTCTACGGCTCTACCAGCCCCGGGAACGGGGATTTCATACGATGGAAGGCTCTATTGGCTGCTTGGAAGATGTGAGACTTTGATCTATGATCCCAACAAGAATGAGTTTTTACTCCACCACATTACTCCTCCTTCGGATGTATTGTGCATGATTCCTTTGGTGCTTTCGCTTATGGTGCCTTTTCAAGGGCTTAGCCAGTGTCAAGGTTCATTTTGGGCAGGACAAGCTTGGCGTGCGGAACTGAGAGTATACACACTGGCAGATGGTGAATGGCATCTCAAGCATAATGTCAATATCCTTGATTGGTTGCCTTCCAGTGCAAATTCGGTCAAGAACACGATGAAGATACTTCCGAACGCTGTTCAATTCCGGACTATGCATCCATATGATCCCATGATAGCCTATTTGACTGTGGAAATGACGTTATTGGAGTGTGACTTTGGGGGCAGGACACTGAAAGTGGTAGCCGAGAATTTGGGCAAGAACAAGGAGGGCAGGGGTCTGATGTGGTCCAACGTGCTGACATTGTCTCTTCCACTTTGGCCGACCCCTCTTCCTACTCTTCCTGCTGCTTAAGCAGTTAATTTTATTTCCTTAGTCTACCCGGTTGTAGTTGATGATGAAGTGAATGACCTTGTCCATTGCATGTTGATATGCAGTGCATATGGCAGTAGTTAGTTAGGTGGTCCATTCTGAATTTCGTTTGAACATACATGAAATTGTGAAAACCATGGCAGTTGAGCTCTGAAAGGAATGGTTTTCTCTTTGGTGGTACTTATGTTGTGGAAATTGCTTTTTACATTCCATCTGTTTGCTTTGTAAGTTCCACTGGTACAGATGAGTTTCTTGCACAACCTTTACATGTAAAAAAGTGTAGTAGGAAGGAAGTTGTCTTGTCCGTCTAAATAATTTAGATTGCACTCTTTTTCGGTTCTGGGAACTCTGTTTGGACAGCGCCATGCCATTCATTAGAGTGAGTGTGATCCAAGAGGCAGTTTGTGTTTGTAATTGTGGCCCTCCCACTCTAACTTTACCTTTAGCCACTGCCTTTGAGAGTGGGTAAATATTAGAGATTGGAATCAATGGATTGTCATCAGTTAGGTAGAGTGATGGTCGATCAAAGGAAGTTAGGATTGTGATGATTTGGATAGCAAGGATCAGACAATTTTTTTGTTTGTTTAAAGATTTTGGTGGTGCAAAATTTGTGGGACCTATGGATTTGAAAGGTTCAAATTCTTGGGGTTTACAAACTTGAAAAAAACTTTAAAAGAGTTAGGGAACTGGGATTTGGAGTATGGGTATAAATCTATGATCTAATAAAATAATGTCACTGAGAAAAGGAGATAAGATGAGGTTGAGGTGAGATCATCATGGTTCCACGTGATGTAGTAAACACAAAATCCTAGGATTGTCTAGGGTCTTATTTAGGGGTGTACATGGGTTGGTTGGTTCGGGTTTAAGTATTTTAATCACCCGACCTATGCACTACGGTTTGGAAATTATCAAACCCAAACCCACTCAAAATAATTTAAACCCTACAATTTGTTTCTAATTGGGTTGGGTCGGGTTGGCGATATTTTTAAGTAAAAACCCAACCCAACATAAAATATATAATTATTATACACCATAAAAATATTTTATAACTAATTAAAATTTCAAACAAATAAACCGAGGTGAAAGGTATCAAAATTCACAATGTTGTTTGAGTTTTAATAAAATGTGATTTACTTCAACATATGTCTAGTTTTTTTCACGATATTTGTTGAAATAGGCTAAAAAGGTTATAAACAAATGCATCCATAATATGTTATTCTATTAAAATTGTATACAAGAAAAATGATTACGTGAATCATAATTATATTCAATTTATGTCTAAAATTTAAGTCGAAGAATGCATTAGATTAGGGAGACCATGATAGAAAAACATTGCAAAATATCTTAATTTTCACATAAGTATGGCTATATACGACATAAATATTTTTTAGATACGAACTCATACTAATAGTTGGAACACGGGTTGGGTCGGGTTCTACGGGTTGTGTAATCCAAAATCCAAACCCAACCCAAAAGAGGCGGGTTGCACAAAAGAAAACCGTCACCCAACCCAAAACCTTCGTTTTAGCGATAAATACGGGTGGGTTGGACGGGTGGGTCGGTTTGCGGGTGTGTTTGTTCACCCCTAGTCTTATTCCACGAGGTTTCTGATGCATAAATACTCACACCAAATCATCCAAGACTCACACGGAACCTATAGAGAAACATTTAAGGGTTTTCATTCAAATAAAAACAATAATAGTAAATTCGTTTAGGGGGTTTTAGATTTATAGATGCATCAAAGTAAAGATACGTTATTGTATAAGTAGGCTGTAGGCAAACTCGAATACTATCATGCATACTAAGGCTCATTCACATTATGCATCAATGGTTCATTTATGGTATCACACTATCCCTCCCACTAAGGCCACTCTCTACCCATGCATGCACCTATTGTGATAGAGATTTTACTAGCAAATGCGTGATTTCGCTTCATGCCATCACCTAATTAATGAAAAACAAGGAAGTTAGAATAGCATATGATTAAGTGTGGGTCTCTACGAGCCATAATCGATGGTATATAGAATCGATGATCTAACAATCAAACATTGATACTAATCAAGGTATAGATGGTTCATCATTCCCTCTATACTCT